ACACACACACACACAGAGGAAGAAACAATTAGTCTCATCACATGGAGAAGCAGCTTCATGGGTACAAACCTGATGACAAACAAAAACAGTCCCATTAGTGGTGTCCTCTGCCCTTCTCTAAATCCAGCCTGTCCCTGGACGAATGCTGTGAGTCATCTCTTATTAATGTCTTCTGATTTCCCTATGCCTGCAGGCTTTTATCATTGTTAAAAATCAGTTAAGCTTAATACTACGCTTTCCAATCTAATGGAATAAAATGTACCAGCAAAACAAGCTTTCAAAGAAATTCACTCAAATGCACTCAATCAGCCTGCCATAGTGAACGCCAATGATTCTCACAAAGAGGAAGGCAGGAAATACACACGTGGGATGTGCTATTGATTTCCAAGGGACCATGAACTTCTTAAAGTCAACAGCGTCAGTTCACTGTTCATCATATCAAAAAGCTTTACCAGCGGCATCTTTGAGGAAGTAAGCGATATATTTTTAAATCAATCAATCTTTAAAAACCCAGATACACCTGCAGGAATGGGAGATAAAAGTCTTACAGATTTACAGTTCTTAACCAACACACAGTGATGATTTGTGTTTTTGTTTTGCAGCTGACAGCCAATTTAAGTTTGTATGCATTTCTGTTGCATATCAGCTATGAAAAACTCATGCAACTGTTGTGTTAAATCAAAGCCTTAGTTTGTCATGAGGTTTACAGTATGTTAGATGCACCTGCAGACATGTATTATGACTTTAGTCAAATAGACAAAATAGTCAGCTTAGACAATAATGTGTCTGATAATGATAACTCATTTAACTGTCATGAGGTTTACAGTATGTTAGATGCACCTGCAGACATGTATTATGACTTTAGTCAAATAGACAAAATAGTCAGCTTAGAACAATAATGTGTCTGATAATGATAACTCATTAACTCTACCAGAGGCAGATGGATATGCAAACTTTGTTCACTTCTGTTTGTCTACTACTTCTCTGTAAAGTCAATTTTTAGTGTGTGTGCACTGATGGCTTCAACGTTTTACCACACACTTGTAGAAGTTGCGTACTGGACCAGGATGGACTTCCAAACTATGTCACAAATCATGAGCACAGAGACACTTTCCACTTTCAGCAGATGAATGTGGAAACAACCTTCTAGTGTCAAACTCTGCACATACATCATTCAGTGAAGCTGTAGGAATAAGAAGAAAAACAGATTTTTGAGTTTCCCCCTATTTCCAGTCTTTATGCTAAGCTAACCTAGGCTATCCAGCTGCTGGCTGCAACTTCATATTTACCGTACAGATACAAGAGTGATACCAATCTTCTCATCCAACCTTTGGCAAGAAAACTACTATGAACTATTCCTTTAAAGATGCAAACGGAAAGGGTAAAAGAGAAAATCAATCAAACACACTCAGTGATAAAATGCCTGGGGAATTTCTGTTTCTGCTACGCAACTGTATGAAGCCATTTCCTTCAATCCCTCTCATAGTTCCACTTAGAAGAATACGACTGAGTGCTTGTGGTTGTGTTATATGGCGTGTCTGTGTGTGTTCATACTTCTCATAGATCCTCTGCCCCCTCATGAAGACTTTGGCTTCGCTGTCCAACGGGAAAGTGCCGTCATCTTTTCTGAAGCGGTAAAACAGCTTCAGGTCTTTGAACTCCCGGTGCTCGTCGCACACTGAAAACACACACACACATGCATAGAGGTTTTAGTTAAGGGCTCATCACCTGCAGGGATTACAGACTCAGGGGACAGAAATGGATTATCAAAGAGCCAGAACAGGAAGAGGCTGTTACTGACTGACAGATTTTAGAAACATAACCAACATGCACGACTGAAATCATGAGACAATTCATGCAAATCTGTTTCATAACTCAGGTTTCACTGGACTGCTCATTTACTTTACAGATAAATGCATTTACTGGCCAGTTTAGGTTGTGTGAGTGTAATTAACAATGGTATAAAAATAGCAAAAGCGTCACATAAAGGGATCATGGGAATTTTGATCATGTTTGTATAAAGCAGTTACTAAAATCTAAACATCATTAAATCATTAATCTACAGTTGGGATGAGTTAATATTGAGTTGGCTCTGTCTAAACTTCAACTAAAGAGAAAGCGTGCTCTCTCCGCCTCTGTTTTCGTTGTCTGGTCACACATGAAACAGGTAGTGAGACGCTACAGTGGAGCCAAATTGTCTGGGAGACAGAAGAATCCGCTATCAGAGGCCACCGATCGTCCCAGAAGAAAATGTTCAAGAAAGAAAGACAGAGAGAGAGAGAGAGACCCTTGCTGTTGCAGAAAATGAAAAACACATACAAGACTAACCGCCCCACAAACACAAACACAAACACACACACACACACACACACACAGCTCAGCCTTACCGTGGTGAATGATGCTCTGGTCTAAAAGTTTCTGCATGATCTTGATGGCTGTGTCTCGGTCTGAGGCTTCCTTGTGTTCCATAAGCCAATCTATGAGTTCCTTGGCCACAAAGCAGTTTGGGTAAGTTCGCAAGTGGTGCCGCCGATCTTTGATCACCTTCGCCTCATGGAGCCGCAGCCTGGAGGGCAGCAAACAAGCCACAGAGGAGAGAAAACAGTTCTTGAGAGTTCTGTGACATGATTCCTTAACAATTAATACATTAAACACTTTTGGTTTAAGTGACGACTGAGTGATGTTTCACCTTCTAAACGGTGTTAGTCCTGTCATTCCCTGGTTTAGTGGTTTATATGAGCTTCATATCATAAATTAGTCTATTAAGATAAGAAATCTTCTAGTAGTAAAAACCATGATTTACCCATAAGAACAGATTATTCATACAAAGACAAATTTATGAAATTAGCAAATCAGTCCTCTAGGCTCAAGGTGCATGCATGCTATTCAATCTCCATCTTCAGGGATTTATAACGTGATATAAATATACATATATATATTGCATGTAGTCATGACAACCCTCTCATGCTTCTATAGTTGGCCTAGATGCTGGTTTTTGCATCATCAAGGTGACCTCTCCCTGAACCTGAGTATTGTGAAACAGCCCACCACAGCCTTAGCCAAGCTCCCTGCCGCTAGCTAGTTCCACTCCATGCTGAGTCTGCGTGCAGCTGGCTAGCATCACCCCGGATTAGCAACGACGTCCCAGTCCAAGTCCGCCCCAGTAAGTATCCACACGATGTTCTGCCAAGACTCACGATGGGCAAATAAGTTACAGACTCATCCTTTCCTCCCTCCTCTGTTCGGGTACAGTCTAATCTACCCATAAATCATCTCAGATGTAGATGGAAGCAAAATAATCCATCATGCTGTTTCCTTATAGGAGGCTCAGGTGTCAGAATACGTGTTGTGGTAGGGGGTCTAACTCTGTTGGTTCCTCTCTGTAACAGCATTTCTTACATTTGTGCTGGGTCGCACAATGACAAGCGGGAGTGTTTCTGAATGAGTCTCTGGCTCCCAGTATGACTATAATGATGCTGATTCCCAGGCTGAAAACATCCACCAAGCCTGACTCTCTATCACAGTCTGCCATGGGGCAACAAACGCTCTATTCACAACTATAAACTGGTCACAGGACTTACTACAGCAGCTGCATGTGTCTGTGTGCAATCCGTCCTTTCTGTCTGTCTTTCAGCCCTGTGCCTGAAATACATCCGCTCTACCACACGAGCAGTCGTCATGATGGGACACAATAGTGTGATAAGATATTTAAAAACAGCCAGTGTACTGTTATCTGTCAGTGCCAGGAACTATGTCACTCTTGTTCCATGAGCTTGACTTGTGATAAATGATCAAACAAAGGTGTGGATTAGGTACTCCCCGTGCTTTTATACCAACTGTATTTCATATCAGGTCTATTTTTATTTTCATTAATACAGTTCATAAAATGAAATTGACTTTCTCATTCCTTCTTAACTACCAATTCACACCAGGACAAAGGTAAAGCAGGGAGAGGGAGGGAGGGAAGGGAGAACACCAATCATTAAACTGTCCAGTGTTTTAGTATTAGTACGTATTTTCGTAGCTCTTTAACATAACATATTTTTAATATTAAACATTTTAAAACCGGCATTCTAAACATCTGAAATCGCACTTGTATGTTGTTTACTCTGTTTGTCGTCTGTCCGGTTATGTCTGTGTATGCACTGATGCCTTTAAACAAATGAAGTTCCTGATGGATAAATAAAGGTATTTTGATTTGATTTGATTATTGTACATAATGTTTTATATTTATTTTATGCAATTGTCAATTTTCTATCTTTCTATTCTTTATTTTCTTCTTGAGTTGCAGTAATTGCTTTCATCTTTCTTTATATTTTCCTCATACTGTTTATTATTATGCACCAATATACCAAGGCAGATTCCTTGAATGCTGAAATCTATTGGCAATCAATCTGATCCTAGTTGATAGTGCACAGTGTAACAAGACTAATAGCTTTCAGCCTTGCTAGCAGCTATGTGAGACTGTATTTAGACATAATGGTGCTTTGAGCTAAATGCTAACAAGCACAAATATTTACCATGTTCACTTAGTTTCATCTTAGTTTAGCATGTTAGCATGCTAACATTTGCTAATTAGCACCAAACACAAAGTGAAGCTGGATCTAATGAGAATGGTTTTGCAGGTATTTGGTCATAAACCAAACAATCCTCCTGAGGGGGGACGTGACTTTCTTTACACATTTTAATGGCAACCCATCTAATTGTTATTGACATATTTCACTCAGAAACAAAAATGTCAACCTCATTTGGCGGGAATGACCAAAGTCAAAAGGATTCGTCCTCTGGGGGCCGTGAACGTCTGTACAAATAATCCATTTAAATAGTTGTTGAGATAGGAAGGTAACAATATATCCTGATACAAGTTAATTCGCAAATATGTGAAGATTCAAATCGCTGAAATGAAAAATGAATCATAATACTTTTTTAAAACAGCAGAGGACACTATCTACTGACTTTGACATTGCTTGTTCTACTTTTTTTTTTTTTCAGATAGTTTTAGCTCCTTGAATCCTTCTTTGGTTTTATCTGCTTCTTTGATATAAACAGCCACAATCCGCCCTGTCTCCTTTGTGGTTTCGCCTCACCTTTTACATTTTGTATAAGATCTCTTTTTTTCGAGCAGGGTTGTAACAATTTCACATCCCTATGTTAAGGTATTTCAGGCTGGACCGGAACAGAATGATACTACCATCCCTAGAACCATGCTTCTATCTTAAAAAGTTTGCAAGCTGACTGTTAAAAAAGACGAAGATAAAGATTTAGAGACAGACATCGAGCCCTGTATGTCACAACCTCGAGACCTTTCCCCCGAGAACAGCAATGTCTCAGAGGCAGAGGACTCTTGGACAGCTACCCCACCAACCCTTCGTTCACTGACACCAGCCACACTGCCAGCTGGCTGCCTCAGTACACAGCTGTGCCAGGGACACTGACACACACACGCACACACACACACACACACATAGAGCACAAAGTAACAAACAGGAAAACACACACTGCTGCTAAGCTGCTAAGATAACAAAAAGAGATATACATCTAGACACAAACTATTAATCTCTTGAGGTGGTGACTGTGACTTTTATGGTTCTTCAGAAGAGGACAAGACAATATCACAGTGTTTACTTCTTAACAAACAACAAAAACTCTAACTCAGTTCATCCCACCCAGCTGGAAAAACACAATTCAGTGGCGTATTTTCCTCGTAGTTCAGTGGGGGGCTGAAATTCCAGGCATTGATGCCATGCTTTACCTAGTGAGCCTCTATTCATTGCCGGGAGCGTGAGCCAGCAAACGCCCCTGGGGTTATGGGGCCTTTCTTCACAGACAGTAGGTCAAAGAGTACAGCATGTCAACAACACTGCCAAGGCTAGCAGTACAGTTGCCTGATAGGATGAACGGGCAGGGCATGATAATGATAATGGGTTAGTAGGTTGATCATTCCCTCTGCAGCTCAAAGGTCACTGTATTACCGGAGCAACAAAAACTACTCATGGGTTGAGTCCTCAAAACTGTAAAAGCAAAACAGGATCCTGCAGCAGTGTGCTCAGGCAGGGCTGAGCATGTGTGGACGCCTTTGTTTGGCTCCGCATGCTGCAGTAGGGCTGACACTGCCTGTGCTGTCAGTTTGCAGCGAGCCACATGCATGATCATTAATCTGCTGCCATGCCTACAACACCCACTTTTCTCAATTAACGTGTCATGTCCTGTCATGTCCTCGTTCATCCTGATCTGGGCCACAGAAAGACACACAGGATGGAGCATGAAAACTAATTAAACAATGAGTGTTTCTACTCATCATCAAGTGGATTCGTTCGGGACTGCAATTGCATTTCGGTGGTCGGTTCGCGGATGATCCTGCACCAGCTTTCCCCTCAACGTGTGACCCGCAGCATACCCAGGGTCAGCGGGCATTTCTGACCGACATACCTCAGCTGTTCTCCGGTGACGAGCACCTCGGCCAGCCGCTCCAGCTCTGCAGCCTTCTTCTGCATGGTGTTCCCGATCCCGTCCATCTCTCTGCTAACACAGGAGGCAGAGATCCGGGGTGTTTTTGTTGCCAAATAGCTTCACAAAAAAAAAAAAGAAATCAATTCTGCACTGAGAAAAATGCACCAGTTTTGCTTTTTTGTTAGTTTTTTGTTGTAAAATGAGTAAACATGCTGTGCAGCGCAGAGGACAGGAACCAATGCAATGGAAAACAAACGGCACGCAAGCATCCACGCGGTGATGATTTGAGAAAAATAAACAATGCACTGACACCTTTTTTGCTTACCCTTCAAGCACCATGGAGAGCGAAAATAATGATCAATTATCCCTTTGATGAACGAGGATGGGGGGTGGGGGGTTATCCCATCCCAGGAAACATATGCAACAGTGCAGCCAGTCAGAAGTCACAGCCCAGCCTCAGTGTGCCAGCATCAGCAGCGGTCCACTTTTAAATCCACGGGAAAAAAACACCTCCAAATCATCTGCACACACACACACACCACTTAAGGCGTGCACTGCATGCCGCATTTCCTCCCACGAAACCCTCCCGTCGGTCCGTCTGGTGCTGATGCGCACGCCGATACGCAGCGCCTCGGGTCGGTTCGTGTCACTGACACTGCACACCCACAGGGATGACGATGCACGTTTTCCCCACGGTGCAGCCAGTGCCCCGTCCACACAGCCCCGCATTGGGAGATCTGCTGCTCGTCCTGGGGGACGTTACCACCGAAGCGGGCGCTGGCTTACAGCAGCCACTGTGAGTGCGGCCTCGACCTTACATTCACCGCCCGGTCCAGGAACTGATATCACCCAAGGCTCGGACAAAAGGTACACCTTTGTTTCTTTAATCTGGTGTTAGAACAGAGAGCAGCCAGTGTAATGCTGTCCTGATTAGCAAAAGCAAATGAATTCACTGTCAATGAACTGAATGAGGTCAATAAGTGCCTTGCATTTCACAGAAGGGGACATGTCCTCCACCCCTTTTTTCTCTCTTAACTCCGGTCAGACAGCTTTTCCTCCCTTCCCACTCACGTTCCACTTCATTTTTCCAATATCACTCCATTCGATCGTTGTGCTTGCATTATCTGCGGTACGCCTCTCTAGATTCTACCACCAAACAAGTTCTGAAAAAGGAAAGAAACCAACCTGAATCTGAATTTTCTTCTGACTTTACGTCACTAACTGAATTCCTTGATTTCTAACAAGAAGCCGACACACATACAACCTTTCAATCTTTGACTACAAGCTTTGAATTACCATGTCCCAAATATTTTTGTCAGCAAGCATACCGTAGAGTAACCGGCTGCACATCAGCTGCCTATTCACAACCATGTTTCTGTATCTGAAATAACATAAAACCAACGCTTCTACCCAGGACAGATGAACGTCACCCTGCGTTCATTGGCCTTACCACTGATAAGTGTGTAAACTGTATGTACTCGTATTCGGCAGAGTAATCCGTCTTTTGTCGAATGTTCTCCATATTAAGTAGTGTAAAACTATGTTGCATTCCTGTCTACAGCACAGGCACGTGGTGTCACAAGCAAGGCTAATCTAGTTTACGTTGACAACCCTGCTGTCCACTCCTCCTTCTCTACATAACTGATAGCCTTGAGTTGTTTCTGTTTTGTTTATGTCTTAAACTTAGGTCTTAATTATTCCATCAGATTCGAATCATCCTGCTCAGCACATCCAGCCAGTGACAAAAAGGCCTGAGTCAACCACTTTTATTCTGAAGGCGTGTGAATAAGACTGCTACACGACACCTGTCATGAGTCTTTATGAATGTTTATGAAATCTTTGTCAGTGAGTGTCATTCTGGGCCTCCAACTTATGTCATTTCTGATGCAAAAGTTAACATTGTTTGAGCTGTCTGTGTTAGGACCACTTCACATTAAACTAGGACACACACTACAACATGCCACAGCAGCCTCATTTGGCTTCATGTGTTAACATTACATTCATACTCGGTCCAAATATGTGCTTGTTTGCGACATTGCGTCACACAGACCAATTATAAGCTGCTGTCATAAGATATTTTCCTTGAACTTCCCAGACACGTTTCGTACCTACATTAACATTAAAAGCTAAACCGTCCCAATTCACTGTACACAAGCTCGCTTTATAGCAAAAAAAAACAGTCATTTTATCTCGCAGATAGGGCTTATGTAATACACACCACATCAAAAACTGAACGAGACTCACCATTATTATTATTTTATTGTTGTTGTTGTTATTGTTTGCTTGTTTTGTTGTATTCTACACTTACACAAGTATAAAAGTGGGTTTGGGCTGATTCTGTGTGTTTAACAATTTCTTTACTTCCTTCCCATCTCATTTTCTTTTTTATTATCATCTATTTAATTAAATTATTAACAACAATTACCGCTCAAACAATCTTTTATATCTACACAGAGACAGGAAATGGAACTCCAAGCCACTACTGTACGATACACAATAACAAATAAGCTTCATGAGGTTTGTCCATATTCGTATCTCTTCTTCAGCATCACGATGATAATGTATCCTTTGGTTTCCTCTGGGCCCACCTCCCATAGTTCTCAAATGTTATTTCCAGTTGCGCTGACATAACAACTTATTTTATACACGAATCATAACGAGCTGCTGAAGGACCAGGGTCATGCACGCACTGCACGCGTGGATATCCAAGGGTTCAACTCAGCGAAACACCCGGCCAATGAGGGTATTGCCGGCCAACGGGGGTCGACTTTTTGTTGGTGTGATATTTAGATCATTAAGCTTTGAGAAGGTTCAGAGTCTCTAAAAAATAAATAGCTTAACTAGCGGCGTGTTTCCTAAGAAACGAAAGCCACCATCCCACGTTCAAGAAGTTAATTATTTAAACGCTTCAGTTCTACTTTTGTAGAAGAAACACGTGTCGGCGCGAGTCTGGCATAACGCGTGTCCAGATCAGTTCTTTCTGTAGTTTTACCAGAGGCAGAGTTCGAACCTTAAATAGCAGCACATCACTTCAGCAGCTATTCCTGGATCACTGAGGGTAACATACAGGCAACCACGACCACCCTGGAAAGTTGGAAATGTGTGTTATAATTATGCAAGTTGAGCACTTTTTCTGTGTGTGCAGGGCCACAACTGAATGAAAAGTATTGATGCATGAAGTACACTGTGGACCCATTGATCAAATAATGCCTGTTAATATTATGCAGCTCTACTTGTAAAAATACCATGGAATAGATATTGAATTGTCTTCATCTCCTAAAGCAAGATATCATGTGACTTACTAATGAATGTATGCCTTTCTACTGTAAAAAAAAAAAAAAAAGACAAATTAAAAAAGTTTGGCCTATTGCAATGCATTTATTAAATACTTTCTTTACAACAATCATACAATGTATATGTTTGATCTTTGTCGTAACTACAGCTGGCTATGAAATAAGGACCTCAAATGACAAGCAACTTAAGTATTAAGTTAGTTAACTCAAGACGTGAATAATATATGGATGGTAAAGTACTGCACTTCCCACTGCAAATCAAATTAGTATTTAAGGGGTTCTGCACAAAAGTCAAAATGAAACAAAAGTAAATGAATATAGGCCTACAATATATCTCTTTTTTTAAATATACAATGCTTGCAAATGTAACAAAACACAGATCTACAGGCCTAGTATCAACCTCTTCATCGGTGCATAGAGAAGTCACAAGCCTGTCTTTAAGTGCTGAGAGCAGATTGCATGTGACAAATAATGGCAGTTTATTAGAGAAGAGTAAAAGCTGGCTCTCTGATTCTTTCTTGCATCAAAAAAAGAAAAGTCCTAATAATGTGAAATGGTAAGCCCTAAGCATATTAACACATAGCAACCTCGAGGATAATGGCATTGTTTAACATTTCTATGGAATGGTTGTGTTTTTAAAAAAGTATTATTTGATATAATTTATTGCATACTGGAATTTAAATATTATGGAAACAGTGATGGCTCTGGTTATCAGCTGGAAAAGAAGGAATACTTTCTACTCAGTGGTAACACTGGTGAAAAATTGAGCAAAGAAGGAATTACTGTTATGCTTTGACTTTTTCAAATAATGTTTAACACCAATTTGTTCATTTCTATGTAAATAAACACCAGCTGTTGTTATTGCATGTAGAAACTGATGTGAAGGCACAACAGGCATCAAGCACATTCTGTGAAAACCCTTATTAGAAACCCGGATGATTTATGGATCAATTTCTGAAGTGAGCAGCAGTGTGATATTTACACAGCCAATGCAACTGATATTTACATTTAAAAGATATCATATGGCAACATCTGCCAAGTCAGTATGCAGCCGGTATAGCACAATGCTTCTCCGCATTCAAAGTAGGGCTTTGGTGTGCTACAATACTTCATTATTGGGTCAAAACCTATTTAGGCATAATGGAAACTTCATCAACATTCCTATGAAAATACATATCAGACCACAGTATGTTCTGATGCACTGCATTAATCAATCCTCTACAACAAGAATTGTGCATATCCACTCCTGCTGTCAGTCACTCTTTGGCAGTTCCTCCATATATGCACCAGGTGTCTCCCTCCCCCTACAGTAGTGTTAGTAGGAGGCGGCAGTGGCGATGGAAGAGGAGCCTGGCTCAATGTTCTTCAGGTGGCAGGAGTGGCACAGAAGGTGGCCATTCAGAGGGTAGCAGCGGTGACCGTCCTCGTCATTTAGCTCCATCTTACATTCCTGGACAACACAAAGGAGGAACAAGGATGAGACACATCCAGTGAAAGGTTACGTGAGTTTAAATAGAAGAATACAAGATAATTAGTCTGATCTCTGCCCCACATTAGCCTTATTTCCAGTCATTCAAAGATTGAGCTGTGGAAGTGTGAATATGCAGCATTTAGAAGAGGTTAATTTCTACATTTACAAAAAAGAAAACTTCTTAGCAAATCTCAAATCTGTGCATACTGAGAGAAGGGAAAAAAGCATGCTCTGTTTGATGAAGGATTCCTTTATCTGCCTTATGGCTTCCAGTTTCAAGAAAGAAATCTGTTTACGAAGACAGAATTCTAATGTCAAGATGCTGCTCTTTGAACAGCTTGAAAGATTAAAAAATGCACCAGAAGGATGCAGCAACTCAATAGTTAAACACTTCTTTAACGGGGAGCTGCTTCTCACAGCCCACCGATTTTTATTTTCATTAAGTTTAAGAACAGCAGCTGTCAATCAGACTTTGGCAAAAAATAAAGACGCCACTTGAGTAAAGTGATAAGATAGGGATGATGAGGTGTTGCATACCTGCTCTCCTAAGCAGTATATACTATATAATTACCGCCAAGGCTGTAATTAAGATCGGGGATCTACTCATAATGATTTCTCTTAACGAGACATTCAGAGCGTCCCTGGCTCAGAGCCATTAAAACATGCGTGTTGTCAAATGCAAAGCTTCGTTTTTAGTTTTGGAACAGAGAAATGTGATGTGTTTTTAACCCACCTCGCAGTGATAGCATTCCACATGATAGTCTTTGTCCATAGATACAACTCGAATGGTTTCATCAGACCCCTGGAAAACAATTCAGACAGTCAAACGTAACTCAAGCCAATCTCGCCAGGAGACACTCCGCTGTTTTATTCTGTTCAGCCTGACAAAAGCTTCAAAAGATCGATAAAAAGCGTGCACACACTGATGCCAGCCAAGAGCTGACTTTAAAGTACTCCTCTGCATTACAACCCTTCACCATTATATTTTCTGAATTTACCATTGAAAATCAAGAAATCACACTCAGGAGAGACACTTGTAACAAAACAGAGCTTAAAAATCATACTGGCATACGTGAAAATAGACAGAAATACAGCTGCAAGGAGACAGCGACTGTAGCAAATCATTTACAAATGTGTACAAAGATCCTGTCTCAGGTTGTGTGTGTGCTCTTTGTCCTGCTGATAATTCATGTCCACAGGGACAGGAGCTGTTTCTGTCACAGTCATCTTTCTCTGGTTACAATATCAGCCTGTGAGGGAACTCCCCTGAACATCCGCACAACAGCTTACATAAATGCACAAGACAGACTAAGCCCTCTACCCCCAATACACACACACTCAAACACACACTACCTCTCCTCTAAATACCGGCCTCACTGCTTACTCAAAGGGGAGGGCAGGGGACATTCCAGCAAAGTCAACTCTAATTTTGGACATTTCTTTGCTTTTGCCAGCATGTCCTGCGTGTGTGTGAACCGTGCTTCTCCCCGCTAACCATCCGCTCTCGACCCCACATCCAATTAAAGATATTATTATTAAGATATTAGGCCTCACATTGTTTTGACCTGAAATCTAGTGGGAAATATGGCTATATTCAACTGTCTGCTACCTGCACAGCTAAGTTCTGTGTTTGGGTCATAACTGAGTAACCACGAGCACATAAGGGTTTTATAATCTGCAGAGTTCCTGGTGGTTGAGGATGCAGTGAAGCTGAATCATTCACACTGTGCTGGATTTCATGTTGACGCTCCATAACCTAACCAAACATACAACCTGTGCCTTAATCAACAACAACCACTGAGTGTATTTAAAGTTCGTACTGCTGTGTCTCTTGATGGTTTAAGTTAACACAATCACTTGTAAACTGAGAAGTAAGGTATTTGTGGCTGAGGTTCGAGGATGTCTGCGTCTGTCATCTCTACCTTGATATGAGAATTTAGTCAAAATATGATAATGTAGAGACACAATGTATGATAATATCTGAACATGATCTGGAGTGTTAGCTTACCTCTGAAGGCAGGATGGGCTGGTTACAGGCTGCACATTTAGGCGCCAGGACCCTGGGAGAGAGAGATGAATACAGAAACATGTTTTCAATAGATTTGCATGAATTTAAATGTACTCTATCCAAAAACTATAAAGATCATAGTTTATATTTGATGCCCTTCTCCCATGCTTTAAACCTGTCAGGCCTCCCCCTCTCTCCCTTCTGACTCGATTAAGATCCTGATTCGACTAAGGAGATGCCAGGTTTACAGATGTGCTGGCTTTCCCCTCACGTGATCCCCCAAATCCAAAAAGGAATAGGAAAAACAAAAAGCCAAAATGAATTCATGATTTCCACACACATGGCTGGCACCTGGATGTCTGAGGGAATAACAAAGGGCCTCTCAGTGTGGATGGGCATGACTGTGGCTAAAAGTAAAACACATACTGTATACACAATAAGGTTTGTCTGATTTAATCAGCGCAGAGGACACGTGGGAGATGGCAGACGGTGAACGGCCATGTGCCTGGCTGTGCAGTACAAACTGTCCCAGCAGAGAGAAGAAAGGCTGTAACTGTTGCGGTGCTACAGATGCTACTGTTGATAACTTCTACTGCACTATCAGTGTTTCTCTCACACACAAAACCTTGATTTTGCACTCAGAAGCCCTGTGTGTCATTTAACTTGTAATATGACACCTAGACATTGTTTCCATTGTCACGCTCAACTAATTTAACACAGATAAGTCCAGGTCATGTGTCTGTGTTTCTTTAACATAATGTGCAGTAAGTGCCACTCACCTGTGGTAGTCTTTGAGACAGTAGATCTTATTTTCAGTGTCCACAGTGAAGGGCACTCCATCAAGGCTCTCATTACAGATGACACAGCGGAAACAGCCGGGGTGGTACGACTTCCCGAGAGCCTGCAGGATCTATGACGAAAGACATGAGTGAAGAAAAGCAGGATATCAGTACTCTATTTCATTCTGCTACTGCTGTTTCACATTTCCTCACTATTTCTATCCAATAAAATTAAAATACTCATAATTCTTAAAAAAATCTTTTACTTTGGATTAGATTATTTTTTAATGATCCCTGTGGGCATATTGGGTTGTAACAGCAGCTGAGAATAGGACAAAGCTAAGAATAAGACCAGCCACAGTACTCAGGATGATTATATAACAGTTACACTATTTATTAAATAAATCTACTACCGGTATGTCTTTTCTGGTAAATTTAAGATAGGGGCAGATGTTACGTTGTATGTTACATACAGAAATACATACATAACATAAACAACATACAAAATACAGTCTCAGAGATTAAGTGCTGTGAGATACAGCATGTTAAATGTGCAGATAAGCGAGCGTAATAAAAACACCTCCTCCATCTTTGTCTGCTGGATAGAGAACATGTGTAGACTAATGTGTAGCAAAATACTTCATATGCTGCGACACTTCCGGACTTGATCATATATTGTGTGTGTGTCTGTTTTGTTTTTACCCATGAGACTGTGTGTGTGTGTGTGGGAGAGAAAGAGAGAGAGAGAGAGACAGAGAGACGCACATGCTTCCTGAGTCTTTATCCAGATGTGCCCACAGAAAGCTCATTTAGGGTGAAGTAACTAAGTTTCTGCTGAGATCACCTGGCTCTGTCCCACACACACAAACACACAAAAGTACACACAGCTGGAGAGAAGTAACAGACACTCACCATGTCCATGATCAGATGTCCACATGCGTTGCACTTGTCGGCAGACTGCTGGAAACCGGAGTACTTCAACAGACAGAGAAAAGACGACAGTGATGTCAGTGGAATTTGGTTATTTAATGGATGACTGAAATCTCCGACTCTCTGTTTCAGACTGAGCACTAAGCAATTCCCCAAAGTCTCCCAGGCACAATCCAGAGTCGCATATTAGGTTTAGCATGTGTAGTGGTGCTAAAACCCCTCCTTAAAACTACTTAAAATCACCCCTTTCGTGTATGGAATACTGACCACATTTTTAGAAAGTCTTTAAAAGTAAATGTGTGTTCCTGAGATTGGAATTTCACCCATACAATATCTGAATCAGTCAGCTCAGCTTTATTATGTGTTATTATGTATGAGCACTGTCAGTGAGGAGAAGCCACACCAACAGGCCTGGCAGGAGAGCAGGCGTAATTAACAGCACATAGAGGGAGCAGAGCCAGAGCAAATTTAATTCAGTATAAATTTTGATTTTAATTGAGCAATTAAGAGGTTTTGGTGGAAAGGCAATTAGATGAGGTTTTATACTGACAGTGCTCCTGGGGTAAACACGCACTGAGCTACTGACAGTGTGAATACAGGGAAGAGTTGGGGGGAGAAGCCAACAAAAAATATGAAAACACAACATGCACACCGGCTACAACATGAGTACTGGAAATTACAACACATTTTACAGAGGGGTTTTAATTGTGTTTAATGCTCATCCTATGGTTATGCACATTTTCCGTCTGTGCAAAGCGCACGCAGTGTGAATGGCTGGACTGCCTTCCACCCTATAAACCATAGCAAAGCAGCTTCTCAAGTTACTGACCTCCTTCCAGTCCCACCCAAGGGAGGAAACTGATATGAATCGGCTGCATTAGATGCTAAAAACGGGGCCACAAGGTCAAAGTCTCTAACTGACATGTTGCAGTACACCTGATGAGGGTATTTAAGGAAAAGGTGATCACCCCTAGTTAATCCTAAATACAGACAGATTTGTGACTGGGTGAATGTGAATGCAAGTCAGTATGAGCAAGTTACTGTGTGTTATCTTTACCATTTTTGCATTTTTTAAGTCACCCCAAAGGTTACAGGACCACATACCTCAGTTGAGGTATACTAGATATTTATTTTCTATTGACCGCTCACCAGAAAGTCCTCTTCACAGAAAACCTTCCCTCCGACATAGTAGAACGCCTTCCCTCTCAGCCTTCGACCTGCAGAAACAGGCAGAGAGAAAAGTCAATTCATATCATTTCACTCAAGCAATACACAGCAGGGCCTGCACCTCTGACTCCAGGAAAAAAGTTTTTATTTATTATTGAATAACAATAAGTAGATTAAAGCGGACGAGGAAAGGTAAGTCAATGACTGAATGTTGAAATGTCTTAGTGGAAAATCTTGCAAAGCCATGAGCCCAGTCTCAGAAAATAGTTACAGCACTAATGCATAAAGACCGTGGTGATTAATTACACCCATTGGAAGGTAATGGACCCTCTTGCAATATTCATTATATCCTGCTGAATCCCAGGCAGATAAATCAAACAACGGATCTATGGTGTGCTGCTGTCTTAATATAATATTGCTGGGACACGGAGCGGGCTTCAGTAGGACAAGGAACACATCTGGATCAAACACGTGGGGAAAATGCTGATTAAATCCAATTACTAGACAGGTGCAACAGATTAAATACGCTGCTCTATTGGATTTCATGGCAACCAGAGGCCAAGACCTACAACAACCTGCTATTCTTCTTCTTTGTTCCTTTCTGGTGTCTTTCCACACGCTGCGTGTGCTTCCTGTCTGTCTGTGTGCTTTAATAGTTCTTTGGTCTGGATCTGGCTTCTTTTAGCAGCACAAACACACTCTCTCTCTCTCTCTCCCACACACACACACACACACACACACAAAAACCCTCTTTGCAAACTTCACATACCTATTCCTGTCCAGGTCCCACAGGAAGAGGAACATTCCTCACATTTTCTGAGTGGGAAGGTGAGGGAGGGGACAGCAGGGGAGAGGAGGGGTCAACCTTGGTGAACAGGAGCCTTCTTTATCTCCCATGCTCCATCTCACGCTCTGTTTACTTGATCACTTGATCACTTGTATCCACATAGTTTCACACAGTCATTTTGCCACTAGGAATTGCATGGTTTCATTCTTAAGACAGAGGAGGCATAGCCCCAGTGCGGGACATTTTAAATACAGGGTTTTCTTGAGACTGATTTCTGGAAAACATGGACAACACGACAACTAGTCAGCACTGAATTGGACATAGTTTATATTTGGGAGGTATGACAGTATTTACCGTGAGATGACGTATTGTCCATTGTTCTGCCGTGCCCTTTTTATTGTGTAATTTAACACCGCTGACAGTATGAAGCAATCAAGGGCAATGTTGCAAGGCGAATTACTGTAGTGATTTTTGCATCACACGATGAAGCACTCTGATTTTTTATGGATTCAATTTACTGAATACTTTAGTTAAAAGACATTCCTGTCTGGTTGTTTATCGATTGCTTTTCCACAAAGTTTACTATATCACAATATATTATTATTATTACTATAAGCCTATTTATTTCTGGTAATTGAGGTTTTTCTTTATTATATATATATTTTACCCCTAGGACTTCAGTGCAATCAACCTACGAAGGGAAGCAAATTACTATTTTAGTGTAGTAGGGGAGAAAAAGCACTTAGCTAAAGAGTTTGACCTTACTATTCTGAATCCTAGAAAATCGGAAGAAGTTTGAAATTTGACTGTCTGGAAGGTCAAAGAAAGCGAAGAACGCTGTTGTCCTACGATGAGACTGAATTACACAAAGAATACAGAGGAAAGAACAAAGAAAAACTAAATTGAAACCTCATGATTTATCTTTTTATATCAAGGGCACGTGACATTCTTTGAACCAGTTATTCACAATTACATTATCTTACTTTAACAGAATAATAATGATCACGCAGCAACCAAGGTCAGGCGAAGGCTCAGACAATAACTAACTTAGAAGTAGACCAGTCCTTTCAATGGGGCCAAGGTGTGGAACTGGCCTTTGGTAATTACTGACAGACAGTCTTGGAACTCTGTCCCTAAAGGAAGGAGGGAAGGATGAAGGGGATGAAAGTGAGATATGGGCCATTCTCTCCATTCCCTCTTCTTCACATTCCTGTCTTTTTTTCTCTTAGTGAGTCAGAGAGGGAAGTCTCTGAGCTTTGCGGAAAGATAAGAGCTTAATTAAAGTCAGGAGACAGGGCTGACTATTCGAAAAGCACCAGAAAGAACTGTGACCATTGCACTTTTATAAAAATGTAAAATACCTGAGGGACAGAACAAAACACAAGGCCATTTTCTAATTAAAACATTCTATGAATTCCTTTATGTAATCCCATTCAGAAAATAAGAAATCCACAATGACGCCATGACTTCCTAATTGAACCTCAACCTTGTTTTTTCCTGTGAGTAAATTACTCAAGTGAGACATTTCAGCAAAAAAAGCCACATCTCTTTTTTACCGATTTCACATTTAGAGACGGTTTACTCTGAGATTCAGTCTGAACTGAAGTAATTTCCTGCCCTGCTTAAGATATCTACGTACGTTTAATTGACAAAGAGAAACGTGCATTTAAAAGAAGTCTCTCCCCTTAGTCTGAATGCATTTCTCTGACTTTCAGCAGCACCTGGAACATTTGGTCAAGGTCCTGACAATCTACCCACCAGATGTTAGCATACCAGTGGATTCAGCACCAATCAGATCCTTGTTTGTATTCTCCAAAGCCTGCCGATGGGCCGGGAGAAGGAAGCTGATCTTGTGAAACCACTGCTTCTTACAAACACATATCACACCTTGCACTGCTGCCGTTGACATCACATATAGTTGTGGAGTCATTCCTACCAGCATTTAATTCTTCATTTGTATTTATATCTTTTCTAAGATTTCCAGATTATTTGAGTTGTTTACTGTGTAAACCAGCTCCCCTGATAACAGATTTGGGCTTAATCTCCAACAGGAATTGGTTTGTACCGTTAACTGTTTGCTAACAGTCAATGATTAGCCCGGAGAAAAGCCCCCCTGCAGTGAAGTGCTGAATCTCAAACATGCCGCTCTCCCAGCCCGAAGGAATGTTCTCTTGCCTCTCCGTCACCTTGGGGGAACTGGTGGAGTCACGGGAGGAAGTTCACAGACATAAAGACTTGTTATGCAACTCAACAAGCATGACGGTTGTCTTGAGATACAGATTATGGGACGAGAAGATGAGAAGGGATGTCTAATATATAGGCACTGTGCATTTTACTGCATCTTGCTGTTTGCTGTGCGGGTACATATGCATGTGTCTGTACCAGTGTGCCCCTGCAGGCCGGCTGTGGGTGGTGGGTGGCGTGCTCCCACTGAAAGGTCTCCCTGTCCTGCGCTGTACTCCCATCTTGTTGTGCCCAGCTGACATAACACCATCCAGTGTCTTCCTGGAGCCAGACCTACCGAGGGCCCCTGTGCCTGCATTCCTCCCCAGCTGAGATGCTTTTCCCTGGGGCCACTCACAGCCATCACAACCCTTATGCCCTCACATGGAGCAAGCTATGAGAGGTATGTGTTGTGTAAACTCCTCTCCCCCCCCCCACTTCAGACATCAGTTTCACTCTGAGCCACAATATGGTCCCTCTTTTTCATCTACTAGCTCTCTCGCTCTCTCTTTTTCTCTCTCTCTCTCACACACAGACACACACGTATAAACACAAGGGTAGAAGAAAACACAGAGATGTTAATCATACATTTGGGGGCATGAAGGCAAGGTCAAAGGTGCTGCAGAATAATGGGCCTGAGTAGAGGTCGCTGCAGTGCCACACATTTAATTGGTTGGAGCGGAGAGCCTGGTCATACATTGGCAATGGAAGTGCACCGCTGTGCAGCCAGGAAGCTACAAGTCCCACATACATGGAACAACTGATACTGAACTAATAACTGGCTATACCTAACTGGTGAGGTAAACTGACCAATGGTAAAAGCAAAAAACCTGGCCAGTGCAGCTTTGCATGAGTGTCCCACTGACAGAACAGATCTAACTTGTCCAATATATATTTTTATGTTAACTGTTCCAACACGTGTAGTTTCTTTAAACTCATTGTCCCCTAAAAGTTGAAAGTGCATCTGTCTCATGCGATTAAAACCAAAACAACACAACCAAAGAACCGATATTTTCATCGTCTTTGAAGTCGTTGTGAATGCATTTTAAAACAAATAAGCCCTGTAGCTAACCAGTACAAGATGTGAGACGCCATTATTGCTTCATTAGTGCAAGAAGTACACGCTGACACTTCTTAATCTTTTCTCAAGCGTGTTTTGGGTTTTAAAAGTAAATGATTTTCAGTCCCCAGATTTGCTTGGAGACTTGGAATGCGAGTATTAATCTATACTTAAAGTTATTTCATTGACTGATGGATGAACTAGGTCGGCAGAAAGTCTTACTGTGTGTCTTTGTGTGGGCTGGAGGAGTGACTGGCACACCCAGAAACCAAACACCAGCACTACAGGATAGTAATCCCCAAATAACTGTGTGTTTTTGCTCAGCCCAGTGAGCAACCGAAGAGGAAGGTACCACTTTTAATTCAGGAGAACAGGGTCTTTGGGAGCTGAGCTTTACCTGTGAATCGACCGAGGAGAGAAGGTGAAAGTGCTTGAAGGTATGCTGTGTGTGTGTGTGTGTATACTTACTACAGGCACTGCAGGTGAAGCAGCTGTCGTGGTAGAGACTTCCCATGGCTTGGCACGCCTGGTTGGCTCCATACACCGCCTTGTTGCACTTAACGCAGACTCCTGCAACACAACACAGCGTATGAGTCAGAAAAGACACAGAAAGATACACATTTAAGTCACAATTAGATGAATGCAACACACACACACTGATGTAGTCACAGACGTCAATCGAATATTAAATCTGAGATACAAATTAAGACAGTTAGTTTATTATATTCAGACAAAAAATAGTAAAGAGTTGTGGAGGCTATGATCTAGATTAAACCAGAAAAAAACAATTCACTTCACCAAAGTCAGGAAGCTGGTTAACAGGGCTTTATTATTGAAAGGGGATATATCTCCATGTGTTTGTTTGACTTGGCTCAGAGACTGAGAAGTCTGTTAATTAAAGTATTTGATATTTCAAAATGTTCCTGCCCTCACAACATACAGTCAGTGTGTCTCCTTAATATTCATCCATCCACACAGTCAAACTAGATTTGCAAAGTATGAGCAGAAAAACCAAAAATGTCAGAAAGAAAAAAGAGACAGAAATCAGAAATAAAGATAAAAGCCCAAAACAGATGAAGAAGAGTTTTCTCTCCTCGTTACAGAATATCAGTTCAGGCCTTTTAAAATGCCAATCACATAAGAGGATGTCAGGTATTATTACATAATCCCTCCTTCGACTTTGGACAGCTCAGGAACAACACGGGGTTTCCGTGTGATCAATATATAACAACTTTTAATCTCCACACACACTGAGCCATAAAATATTATCCTTCAAAGCTACAGTGCTGCCTCTCCGTCTCCGTCTCTCCCTCTGAGTCTGCAGCGTGATATGAAAACTGACACATAGACTACGACAGGTGACGACTCTCATTACTGCTAACCCTAATGGACAGTCAGCTACCTGCTACATCAATCAGATACGCTACGATACGACTGTCCAATCAGGAACTATTAAGTTAAAGCGACCCGAACAGAAGGGGTTCAGTGTGAGGGTTATTTGTGTGTGTGTGTGTGTGGAGCTCAGCAGAACAGCGTGGCCCGGCCCGGCCCGGTCCTACACTGACAAAGAGACTTCTGTCTCCACTGTATCCAACACACATCACGCGGCTGCCTCCTCCGAAAACACACAGTTATTGAATAACCTTCTTCAAATGGTTCTGTTCACCGGCTTTCAGTAATATACAACCGGGCTATATATAATTCAACTTAAGCCTCTCCTAATGCCACAACAGAGGACACATCATCAGGGGCCCCGACGGCTGGAAAGAAGATTTAGAGATAATAGAGGGATATTATTAGAAAGCTGAAGAATGTTGCTCTTATGTAAGATACTGTGTTTACATGAAAACACAATAAAGTAGTCATGCCCTCAAACTGCTTAAATGAACGAGTCAAGGCCCCTTTAAACTCTTTTCTTCTGTGAATGTTGACTACAAACATTTCATGTCACAGGACGAACGGCGCAGAGATTGAGAGATTCTCAGGAACACTGAACACACACAAGTACACAGCGGCTCTGCAGGACTTTTTCAACATCCGACACTGGGCCAACGACATTTTCCCTTTAAATGTTTTACAGCTCTGAATTGTATGCCCCGTGAGAACAAAAACGCAATAAACGTCCAGTCTCTCTTCTCTCTTCCCGGTTGGGAAGCGAAAATTCCTTATTTTCGTAGTAACGTCGCCGCAGGTTGGGCCACTACAAATCTGCTTTTGGCTCGAGTCCCATGTTCCAAAACAGTGTTGTTATTATTCAGGGGGCTCACTGCTGGCTTCAGCTTGGGGGAGGGGAAGCAAAACAAGCAGCCAAACCTTCTCCCCTCCTACTCTCCCTCACCTTTCCCAGCTGTCAAAACTCCCAGTAGATGGCTGCTTGCTGGCCGATGTGCCACTGGCTGAAAATGAGCGACCCTTGCAGCACATTGTAGCAGCTACTGAGTGTTAACACTTAAAGTTCGACCCACGACTTCAGATTCATCTATTACACATCCACAGCACGATAACACAACAGTATGAACATCTCATTATTAGTATTTAAAACTTCTAATAGAGTGGGAAGCTTTTGTTTTCTCTATCTGGTCAGCTCAAATGTTGATCCATTACTTTCAGCTTTCTATTAAAACCATGTATCCTTTACTTTTAGCAATCTTGACTTCTCTGCTCGCGTGCTAACTAGTTTTCCTACCATCTCTGTGGCAAAACGTGCCTTTAAAGTTTTACAGCTGACTCAGATTGGTCAGTACTGTGCAGTCTGTCTATTGTAGCTGGCAGCTTGTTGTAGTAGTCAGATAAATAAAACCCCAGGTATTCAGGTTTTTAGGCAGAAGACCGGGCAATCAAAGATATTTTTCCTCACTAAAAATGTTGATTCAACGGTTTAATTACCACATTATATAAATCAAACTTTGAAAGCAGCAAAAGTATGTACATCGCACTCTCATTCACTGAAATGTGCTGCGTGTTGTGTCACCTACGGCATTATTTCACCACACCCAGAAGTGACAGAGCATACTAGATTCAGTCAAATACCACAGGCCATATATATCATAGACTAACAGACACATAGTCATGCGTGAGAGGATATCACACACACACACTCACACACCACACACACACACACTCACACATAAAAGTCAGCCTTCAATAGCCTGCCAGAGTAGAAGCCAAGAATCCCTGGGAAGAGTTAAGAAGAAGGTTTCCACTCAACAGCCAGATGGGATAAATTAATCCTCCATCTTAACACAACACTAGACGTTCAACTGAGTGTGTGTGTGTTGTGTTGTTTGTGTGTGTGTGTGTGTGTGTGAGGAAGGGGGAAGGCAGAACACTGGGATGTCCCACCACTTCTCCCCTCTTGGATGGACTTGTCTATAAATCTTACATCCTCTCCAGCTCTTGTGGTCAAGGACAAAGAAGCATCCACAAACGTTCCCTGAATCTCTGTTCGTCCACTCGTGCACCTCTAAACTCATGTGGGACCCCCCCTCCCCTTTGTATCTCCAGACTTCATTTCTAAAATTCCTTGTTCTCTTCCTTCAGACATTCCTCAGTGTTCCCCCGGTGCAGCCGTTTTGGCACCGGATTCATTTTCCCAGAATCTCCAGCTGCAATTATGCCAATCAGCACTCGGTGCACGGTTGGGAAGTCTGATGGAGCCCAGCTCTGTGGACGGACGGACGCGGCCCACTGGATCGGTTAAACAACGCCATGGGAAAGGCGGAGACCATTCAAAGTACATTACATTCAGTCCGGCTGAAAGAAACATTTAACCTAACAATTCACAAACCTAAAAAGTTCCTTCAGCAGTCTGCACACATCATACATGTTACGTATGTGCAGGGCAAAACTTTAGTGAAGAAATCTAACCTACACAAGGGACTTTTCTGACTCAGAGGATGAGCCATGGTCTAGTGGGAAACGTACAGGAACCGTGTGTGGGCTGTGTGGGAATGTGTGTGTGAGAAAGGACATGTACTGTATGACTTCAAAAACCTACACTGGTGCTGACTGCACAGTGCGCTCTCCCACACATCCGTAATGTTCACGTCTCTGTGCTATTTATGAGCCTTGTCGTGACCGTGACGTGTGCCAGAGCATCTTCCCTCACACACAACTACAAGCACATCAGGGGGCAGAGGAAGGCTGGGAATTACAATCGTCACATTCCAGCAGGAAATTCCTTCGGCACAGAGGCGAGAGGGTGTGTGTGTGTGTGT